TGATATGGTATTCTCTGCTCTGCTTATGACTTCAGTGGAGCACAGGCATAAATGGCTTGTGAAATGGAGACTGATTTAATTAAGTTCTTAAAGTATTTACCTCTACATCCCTTAAGTGATTCACTTGTTAAAACAATTTTAGAGCCTTTTTGTGAATATTATTTCTCTCAAAATTCTCATGAAATGACTTACCAACCGTGTGCATGTTTTAACACGTCACTGGCACTGCATAGGAAAAGCAACCCTACTGGACTTTCCTTTTGAAATCAGCAAATTCACCCACTACAACTACATACGTTTGAATGTTGTGGGGTTTTTTTCCTTTTGCTTTGAAAGAGTTTTTTTCTTCTTTTGGGTTGAATTACATTTAAAACATTCAAAAAGTCCTTACTTCAATACCAAGGGAAGCAAAAGATTCACACAAGGCACAGAGAACAACTTGCTAGTTAAAATTTGCATTTAACCTTGCAATCTAGGACCCAGACAGAAGCAAAGTAGAAAGAAAAAATTAAAACAAGATGTGAGATAGGAATCTTTAATCAACCTCGTTGTATCAGCCTGGACCCAGAATTCCACCCTGTCTTCTGAGGTTACCCAGCACCACTTTGAAAATGGATTACTTTCCACCGAAAACAATGCCAAAAAGGGGCTTTAGCTCCCCTGGGGGAAATTAAAACAGCCTGGATCATCAAATGGGGAAAAATAATCATTATCAGTAGCAGTCAGAAATGAGGGGAAAGAAAAGGTGAAACCAGACTCAGGTTTTGGACCACTTAATGCCTTAGATGTGCCTTTGAAGACTGAGGTAGAGTGGCAAAAGTCTGTGGGTTCGTGATGCAAAGGAACGTTTGCTTCTCTAGTGGATGATATAAACACCTAGGTGTTTCCCAAGATGTTTGGTTCAGAAATGTGCTTTTTGTAAACACTTGGTAGCCAGTCCTGGAGAGGGTAAAGCACTAATACAGTATTGTACACTTTCTATTATCAGGCCAAAGGGAATACCAACATACATAAAAGATAATATAAATATTACCTCATACATGCTAACCGATGAAAAATACATTATAAGGACTTAATATAGCTTAGCGCATATATGTCTTTAACCTGGTGTCCCTTGTTTTGGGCGAGAGACATTTTCCAAAAGTCCTTGCCATGGTCATCAATCCGAGACTCTACCTGCAGGTGATCCACCACAGAGCTCCACAGGACTCTGGGCTGACAGCTGCCAGTGTGAACAAATGCCTCAGGCGCCTTTACAACCAGGCTAAAAATAACTTGCAATATGATGCAAAAACTTAATTCCAACTTCAGCAGCAGCAACATACTGCTGGCAGAAACAACAAGAAAGTGGTGAAATATCATTTCCCAGATGCTGTGAGGTTGAAACAAGGTTTGCGTTACGGCACATGGTCAGTTAAGGCAATGTCCTTGATAGGTTCGTCTACCCACTTAAAAAAAAAAAAGTAAAAATTAAGGAGCAATTCTGAAAGCACTGTTAACTAACATTCATTGACTGCTAGTTTTGTCCTTTAAAAAGTAAACTATCTTGCACGAATGCTCCATGCTACCAACGAACGCTAAAAGAAAACTTGCTTGACATAGATATTTCCTATTTTTGTAACTTCTAGCTTCTATAAGATGGTCAGGGCCTTGGCCCTGCTATAGCCCTCTTTTGCACTTATACAGCAGTACACTGCTGACCTCAGTTATCACAGAATCACAGAATTTTCAGAGTTGGAAGGGACCTCTAGAGATCATCTAGTCCAACTCCCCTGATAAGGCAGGATTGCCCAGAGCACATTACTCAGGACTGCATCCAGGCGGGTCTTGGAAATCTCCAGAGAAGGAGACTCCACAACCTCTCTGGGCAGCCTGTGCCAGTGCTCTGTCACCCGAACTGTAAAGAAGTTTTTTTTTTTTTGTATTCATGTTCCCTGGAAGCCAACAGCAGGTAACCATACACCTATAATTAAGTACATACTTGAATGCTTTGTTAAACAGGGAAAGACTGATGAATTGCTGCCTATATAACTAATGATGAAATAGTAGTAATGTACGTTTAAATTGGGATTACACTGTAAATGTTTTATGCCAGGGATCTATTAGCCATTGATGACTGGAAAGCTGTCTACAGCCAGCCTGTGGCAGGTCACTGGCACGGTCACACACTGTTGGATGTGTCTTGCAACAGACCAGCAGTAGCCCTAAGAGGCTGGAATATGCTGATAGCACTCTTCTCTTTAAATAACATGGCAGAGGAAGGGTACTGCTAATTTCTAATTTCCAGTCTAACATCTATATAATACCAATCTGACACAGGAGGCTCTTTCTGCTCACTAACAAATAAGTCATCTAAGATCAACTTTCTTCCCACTTGTCAGTTCCTCAGCCTGACACCACTGGTGCCTCTTACCCCATGTAAGGGCAAGCAGCACTAGTGCAGTCACTGCTGGAATTCTAATCACCTCCCCAGTAACTTTGTTCAGAATAAATTTAGACCACAGCACTAAAATTATCAGCAACTTCTGAAAATCCATCTCTAGAAGCACCTATTGACGCTTAGAGGGGTACAACTGCAGAACTAGCAATAGCAAGGAATACAATGACAACAATATAGACAGGCTCTCAGCAAATTTCTTACAGTCCTTCTTTCTCACTAATTTCAAATTTTATTTCTCCTTGCTGCCCCCTTCCCCTATTCCTGTACAGAAGTATCGCTGGATGCCTGAAGTGAACTTGGAGCTGGGTGCCAAAATTAAAGGTGAGTGTGACAGACCCAAGGTCCTTGGCTGCACATGCGTGCTGCAGGGGACAAACACATGCAATAATACACTACACCAATTGAGCAAGGGCAACAGAGCCAGCAGCTCTATGCAAACAGAGCAGAGCACGTAACAGTACAGGGTCAAAACCATTACAGAATTTGACCAAAACCCCCCCAAAAATCAGTGGAAAAGAGTCAACCACCTCCACTGCTGAGTATATCAGACCTGGTCAGAGCTTTTGAGAAGGCAAGAAACCATGTGTCGCAGCTGTGGCAGCTGAATGACTGTATTCTTCCTGCATCTGATTAGAGGGATTTGTCCCAAGACTTAATTGGCAATTTTACCATTTTTTTTTTTTTTTTGTTCAGCAGTGTTAACACATTTTTTGCTGCCTTTGCTGCAGAGAAGGCACCAGCATAGTAGGGCTGCAAATTAGACCGTAGGTGCGTTGCAAATTCCAGGGATTCATTTCTCACAGAAAGTCAGAACCACCTTTAAGTGCGTAGAGCAGCTGTCCCAGCGCACACTGATAGTAAGCCTGCCATACCTTCAGTTAACTTCTGGCACACAGACAACGACTTAGATCTCTTCCAAGACAGTCAAAGAATAATGAAAAAGCAACTTTGATGCTACCTGAAACCAAACTATTCAAAGCACATTGCCTACATTCCTCAGCTGCAGGCACCAAGCCAGGACATGGAGATAATCATTTGGGCTGGTGATGGGGGAGGGAGAAAGGAGCTTAAGGACCAGAGAGCTGAAGTACTCTGGTCAAGAAAATCTAGACAGAATTTAATCTGCAAGGTAGCAATACAACTGTGTTTCTTCCCCATCCCACTCCCATTAGGTGCATTAGAGAACTAAAATAATCATGGACATGGTAATTTTTCCTTTTTTGTTTGTTTTATCTGTTGTATAAAAAATGAGGATCCATACCAAGCAAACCATTTCTGTCTCATCTGGCATCAGTTTTTCCAACTGCGGCTAACATTTCCCATTTCAAGAGCGCAAACTGCCCAGCATAATGCCCAGCCATCAGTGGAACATTTTACATGGGGGAAAAGCTTCTCCTCATCTTCTCCCAATCATGAACCCTGCCCTGCAAGCCCAAGATTTGATAACCATAATTATCTTACTTTTACATATCTACGTCAGCCCAAGATAAAAGAGTTCTTTCAATACTGCAGCATCTGTTCTTTGACTTGATAATCTGCTGCAGCAGTGAAGATTGCACATTGTAGAAAAAATTGTCGTGGTTAGAAAAGGCCCTTGGGGCACAGAACTCTTTTTCCTCCTTGTGTTATGAAAGCTGTCAGGGGTAAGGTGGAGACCATCAGCATTTCTATGTCACTACAGTATCCAACAGCAACTTTCTGCAACTTAGCCACTTGGGGAAAAGTTCCTGGAAATTTCTTAGTGATTCTAACCATGGATTCAATTTCACCAATTACGGACACTGTTGAGTTGCTAACAATAGCTAACATATCCTGCTCCAGCTACTGGGTCATACAGATCTATCCCGAACAGGTCTACATGGTAAGAGGAGCAGCAGTCCCTTCAGGCCTTAATGAACTTCCTAAAGTTGGAGAGCCAACAGATGGGAGAATGGTGTATTTGTGGCTTTACCTACACTTCCAGTAACAGTGTCCTTAAAAGTGGGTTGTGCACTCCACTGGAGGAGACAAACCCAAGGCATATATACACTCTGGCCTTCAGCTTTTGCCTCCTTGTATGTAGGGACCAACAAAGAATCCTCTGAAAGCAGGTACCAGACTTTGTCTTCTCGGGGTCTTCAGGCACTAGAAGGAAGGCACTCTGAATTGTCTTCCCCAGCACTCAGCAAAGTTGAGCAGTGTACAATGGTGAAAATGTAGAAAGGATTTGCATTCATACAATTGAAAGGTGGAACAAAACACACCAAAAAGTGGTTCCAAAGAATGTCTTGGGAACTTCAACTGCAAGACCAAAATATCTTCTGTATGGTCAATTGCAATGAGGGCATCTTTAGTGCCTTTACTTTTAAAAGCAGAGTATCTGCCAACAGCACAAACAAGTACAAAAACAGTAGAAAAGAAATAACAGCTCAGCATGCCCTGGTTTCCACGCAGAGTGTTATGTACTCATTTAGAATTTAAAATGCAGTCTGTTTATACCCTAAATGAATACATAATACAAATGCATTTAACAAAAGAACACCAAAAACATATAAAATGAGAATTTTGGAGAGTGTCTTACCTTTGACCCAATAAGCGTGTACAGCCATTGGATGGTTTCATTATGATTTATTACGCCATTCATGCCATCAACATAGAGCATAATCTGGCCCAAAGCTATTGTAAAGAAAAGAGATAAAATATAATCAGATCTGGTGAATATTTTTTATAATCCTAAGCATTGCTAACAATTTTCTATAAGCAGGGTTTTCCAGAGACGTGGGGAGCTCAACTAACGGAAGATATATTGGGCAAGCTTGTGCTGGATGAAATCCTCGGCAACTGCAGTAACTTTACTGACTTCATCTGAATGATATAAGTGTGAATTTCATCCAGGAACAAGCACAGGCACTTGTTTCTTCCTAGAAGATGCCACATTTTATTGCCCTAAACTCTGCAAACAGGACTCTAGACACTGCTTACTGTCACAACAGTTCCCCCATCTGCAATGCTTTGCATCTTGTGAGCCAAGACTTTTAACATTTGTTGCAGCATCATATAATGTTTGGAATTAGTATATTTGGATTAAGTTGACTGCTTCAGTTAATTCCAATAATACAAAATTAAAGCAGGGCAATTAACACCAGTAAGGACAGCAAATATTCACCATTGCACAGCGCTGTCTTCCAAATTAGTTTTGTATTTTAGTGAGAAAATACAACAGAGCATGGTTAGCAAAGAAGCATCTTTATTCATTTATTGTAAAGCATTTATAGCAACTTTTCAAAACATGCAAATAAAATATTTCCTAATACTAATTCCATAGTTTGCAATCCTGATAATATGAGACTTTATAGAGACAACAGTTACTAAATCTTTTCTGACTGATAAGGACAGACATTTTTTTGTAAGGATTATGAAAAGTGGATTAGCAAAATTCATCTATCATCTTCAAAAGTTTCCACTGTTAGATCTTCTGCTTTATAGCAGGAGATCAAAGCACAGTGGGATGAAAAAGAAATCACTGATGTAACACCTTTCAGCACAGCCTGTTGGCATAACAACTCAATTACCTAACGCACAACCTGACAGGCCCCCAGTACACCGCTTTATGGGGGAATAAAAGGAAAAAAATCCACAGGGTGAGAAAAAATACGACATAATTAATCTTTCAAACACATTCCGAACATTTGCTAAGTTTTGCACAGGTTGTGCACAGTACAGCAATGTTTTCCTTGAGGGCGGATTTTCAAAGACGTGAATGTTAGGCAAGCACTTAAGGACTCCTATAGCTAAGCAGCTAACTTTCATTTTTACATCAAGTCTCCTTTTTCCTTTGCTCTAGTTAGTCTACTTACAGTTAAAAAAAACAAGGTACTAATTTTAGGTACTTATATTCCTTATCTAATCTGTAACACCAAGCTGGAAGCAAAGTCACCCTACACAGTCAATGAAGATGGAGTAAAAACAAGAGGGCTACGGCAAGGAGGTAACTCGTATCTCAGGCAGGCTGCGTTGCCACTGGGGTATGCCCATCTCTCGCTGCTCCTCCTCTCCAGGAAGCAATCATTCATCACTCTCTGAAGACACGTGTCTCAGGTGAATAACATTAGGTGGGAGGAACACAGGCCCATGTGTTAAGGTAAAATAAAAGATGTAAGCCAGTCAGCAAAAAGAGATAAGAACTGTACTGACTGAACAAATGGCTGCTTTGTAGCATTTCCTTGCAGGTAGAGGAAAGATAACACTGCTATCCCAGGCGTAATCAAAGTTCTTAATTCTTGTTTTTACTTCCTTTCAATGCTAAAAAGATTTGGCCCTTGATCAGGATGAGATCCAGTCATGATAAGGTCACCAACCCCCTTGGTCTTTTTCTTGCAGATTCTTTTGTTGGGGGTGAAGGGATTTAATTTGAATTTGAAACAAATGTGAAACAAATTTTACTCTTGGCACATGCTTTCCAAATTAATATAGAAATCAAAGACAGCAAGAAGTCTGCTTTTAAAGGGAAAACATGCACACAATACAAAACTACTCCACTGCTTGTACTTAAGACCAGTTAGACTGGATGCATAAGTGAGATCTGGGATGCATTACTCTTCAGCCTCTTAGACGTGACTCTTCATAACAACAACAGGTTAAGGCAAACTAGTAGACTTTAGAAAGAAGCCACAAAAGAATTTTAGGGATTCCTGACAATTTTCATATGCTACCACTAATCTTGCCCTCCCTAAACCCTCCCACCATCTTTTTTTTTTTTCCTCCATTATCAATGCTATCCCAAGTATATGATAGTATCTGTATCTTTCCAGCAACAGAATGGGTCTTTTGATATAGGTGAAAAATTACTCACACATGCAAAAAAACACTACTGCTGCCACTTGAACAAGTGGCCAATAAGTTTCACAGGACAAAGACTTAGAAAGAACGCTATGAAATGGCCAAGATGAAAGACAAGTTTGCTATGGAGTCATGCTGTCCACATAAAAGTCATTACTTCAGTAATTATCTGCCACACATCAAATTATCAGCTGCTGACAGACCTTGCTGTGGAGCTTCACATTGCTATTTCCTGTCTTCAGGGGTCAGAAAAATGAAAGCAAGACATTATAGGCAGGGTTGAAGAGAAATCAGCTTTCATTATGAGGAAGAGTAAACTAGGTAGAATCTGTACATACTTTGTACAAAGCTGATGCCTTACAAATTCTTAGGCAGAGAAGTCCATGAGACGAGTTAAAAAAAAGAGAACGTTGGGGTTTATACCATGAAGAAGAAAAGGTAACACCTAGCAACCATGAAACAAGATGGCAAAATGGAAGAGACCACAAAAACGCCAGGCAGGAGCAGGCTGGTGGGCTGGAGGTTCTCGGGCTCTACCGGGGCTCAGGTCTGGCTGAGTGGGGCACAGCAGTTTTGCACTAGAAGGAGACAGACCGGCCACAGAGCGCTCTGTACTGTTTTATATTCTTTGCAGCTTTTCTACCCAACTGATAGCCTACCTCCCAGCCCACGATCGTAGCTTGCTGAAATGGCTGCAGCTACAGTGCAAACTCCATGCGCCCACCACCACCCCACGTGTACGCGTCTACCTGCACACATACCCACCAGCAACACGCAGGTCCTCGCCAAGAAAGGGCACACTAATTTGCAAGGCAATCTGAGGTTGTTGAGAAGGCCAATCTAGTCCAAAATCATTTAAGTTCGCGTTTGTACGTGCCTTCAACCAAAGTCCTTTTTTTCACTGAAAAACGAGGAGGCTATTTAATCCATTTAATCCCATCTCTCAGCTAACTGGAATTCTTTTTGGAAGTATATCAACAACCTACTTGCATTAGGAAAGCTTACTATTGTGCAACAGGGGGCTGGGAGAGGGGGGTTTAAATATGGAGCAGACTTAATTTGGAATTTCTTTGTTCCCACTACCCTTGTCAAACCCTTAATCTTATGTGAAAGTAGTGTGTGACTTTACCCATAGCTATTTTCAAGTGGAAAATTGCTGGATTTCTTAGGAAAGGCTTAGGCTAGAAAAGGACAGACCAGCCAGAAACTTCATAGATTTCTGTGAAATAAGAGGTTTAAGAAAGCCTCTAAAAACTTGCCAGTATTGGCACTGATACTCTTCTGGGATCTTTCCTGTACAAAATTAACAGGACCAAAGGGGAAAAACTCTAGCACAAAACATCACAATGAACATCACTTTAAGTAAAAGTCTATTTTTCGCACCCAGACTGTCACAAGTTTCAGAGCTGTTTCTTGCCCACACACCTGCTTCTCTCATCTGCTCTATCTGCCTCATATTTTACCACAAGACTAACTTAGAGAAAGCAACAGCGCTGCATGAACACAAACACTGTTTTCTTACTGTTTCCTGTGAGTCAAAACCCCATTCATCGTGTCAAGAGCTATGGCAGGGATGCATCTTCTGATTGCACTTGTTTCCATCAGAATAAGCGAACATTCAGGGTCAAGTGGGCCAAAATCAGACCTTGTCACAGCAGGTTTCAGCTCCCAAGGAAGCTTCTGGCCCAGGTTCATCAGGAGCTGTGGTGCACGCGACAGGCTGTATACAGCAATAGGCCAGCATGAACGACATACAGAACTGTGATGAAAGTAACGGGGAAGAACCGGCTGCTAAAAGTTGTCTTTCTCATTGTTAGTTAAAAATCTATCATCATCATTTAATGAGAAATTAAGGGTTTATGTGTTTGCCTTCATTCCACTCGGAAACAAATTACTAGCTTACGTATGCTGTCCTGGGCACCAAAAAGACATACTCTGTCAAAGTAAATGTCCCAATCAAGAACAAAATTTCAGTATTTGTCTAGTGAGGGATCCCAGGAGGGAGATAATACAGTTATCTATTATTCTATTACAAAACACTAGAGAATTATTCTGAAGAAAAAAAAAAACCACCTCAAAACGTCTTGTCCGTGTTTCCCCATTAGAGACAGGCAAGAGCTCAGCTACCAAGTGGGACTACCTTGATTTTGAACACAAAAATCCCCAGCTCAGCTCATTTCGGACACGCTGGATGTCGGGAGCTTCTACTTCTGCTTGTAGCACATACCCACAGAGCACACTCGCACACGCATCCTTGGGGAAGAGCTTACTATCTCCATAACATCCACTGCTATTGGACAGTGTTTTCGCTGATGAGAAATCATTATTAAATACAACTTTCGTACCATCCAGCTACTTGAAACTTAACAAAATCACAGCAGAGCCCCTTGCTTCTAAGAAGTGACATCAGATAAAATGGATGACCTGGCCTCTCCACTGCTTCTGAACATGATCTTACAGAGCAGCGCTGTGCCAAACCTTATGACTCACACTCATTACATGGGGCTAGAACCAGCTAAAATTTTTAGTTGGGTTACCCCCCCTCCTCTGTCCGCTGTTAGTTTTGGTACGGTTGCTCTTAGCTTCAGTGCAAAACCTGATGTTTACACACCTATTCCCATTTCTTTACTCCTGTCAAAGATATCTGTCATCTAGGAAGATAAAACCAATCTTATTTCTGACCAAAAATGCACAAATATTTTATTTCTTATGAAAGTTTCTTTAAATCCCATCTCTTTGCTTAATCCTTTTTTTAAAATCTCCTGTTCATTTGTTCTTTCCATTATCGCACACATCATGGCTGAAACATGCTAAGAAATTAATTTGCAGAACTCCCA